TTGGTAAAGGACTGAAATAATCACGCCACATGAGAGCGCTAGCTATACATATATATTGAATTAATATACTACTACATACAAATGGTACGATATCAAACACAATGCGGAATATATTTTTACACGTTACCAATATTCTCTTCGTCCTCGTCGAGGTCGACTGCTTCGAGCGCTGTCAATATGTCGCTCATGTCCCAGTCCGCGGCAGTTTATTGGTCACCGCATGGGCAATGCTTGGGCAATGTAGCGCAGGGTTGTACGTTTTGCTGCTGGTACAGCCCGATTGTGTGGTGGCAGTTAGTGTATTCAACCTTTTTACAATCCATTCGTTTGGTTAGATATGCATTTGCACACAACCCCGCGTGCAAGTATGTCCTCCGCGCCATACGACTCCTGATTTCACCAATTGTGTGGCGATCGTGACCGAATATTCTAGCATCATATTTTTCGCACCTCGCTGGAGCTGGCACGGTAGCTTCATCATTTGCAAGAGGAGATGGTCGACCATTGCCCGGTGCTGGTCGGACGTCATTCAAGATAATCGTGCTATGCAAATTTGCAGTTAATAACGATCATCATTCTTCACATTGGGATAATTGTTCAGTGTCCGCATGATTTTCCCTTGAATTCAGTATGAAAAGTAGAAGACGTTCTGCTTTGATAAAATCTGCACCACTTTCAAATTCAGTGGGCCAAATGGATTCGCTGGATTGAGGACTTTGAACAACAATTTCCGGATTTTTCGATTTCGAAAAATAATTGAATATATTCAAGTATTCCCGTTGTCGGGTGTATATTTCGGGCCGGTGGACATACATGTACTGTACATGGGGGCACATTGAAATTTTCAGAACATCGAGATGAATGTCAGATATGTGTTCTTCATCTATAATCTTCCAACATGTTATTAAATTACTTGAGCCTATTTTGACAAATTTCAAAATTTCAGTGAAACGAGACGTAATATCAATAGATCTTAATGAGAGGAAGTGAATTCACGTGTCATATTTAATATTGGGAAAGAAGTGACTTCAAAATAAGGATTCAAAGTATTTGCTGGTAAGTAGGAATTTTACCATAGTGTTGACCGCTATTAACGTTTGTACTGACCATTAACCGGAAGATCTTGTATTATATTGGGCGAAAATTTGTTGTTAGATCGAAGTTACAACACTACCATGGGACAATGATCAAGTCGCTCGAACGCTGCCTGAGCACAACCAAGAGAAGATGGTGTCTACACTACTTAAACCATAACCAATATTGTAAATTTCACCGACTGCGCCGCGAACGAATTGGACGAAGAGACGGTGTCGTCTTTCATGAACGGTGGAATATACATGGAGTTCACCCCTCATACACATTCAATGGACTGCAGGATTGTGTACCTGAAAGCCTCGAATTCTGCTAGTGTCTATTGGTAAGTTCTTTTGTTTCTACGCTCATGTTATCGATGCGTACAACTTTGGCAATGACTGATTTCACAAAGTATTCTCAAAGGAAGTAAAAGAGCCACCAACGAATTACAAAAGCTATTGCCAGAAGGCAAAGTCACGTTGCTAGTTGAATTGTGATCAATAATTCAAATTGAGTAACATGTTATGAATCGTACCATTGTAATTGACACTTTCATATCCAGCATACAATGTGCCATTCCGCCGTGGTGGCAGGCCCGTACAGGGATTTCTGGTCTTAACAACCCGTGCCAGACCCTGGTCCCTTTCCATCCTCGGCGATGTATTCTCCGTAGAGAGGGACAAATCAAGGCAGAGGCAGTCAAAAAGCACCCTCCATTTCCCGAAGTGCCCGCCGCATTGGAACCTAGACTTTTTTGGCACATTAGCAAATTGAAGTTGAAACAGTGGACATTACAAAGTATTTAACATTTTCTCAAACGATTCAAATTTCCTAACATTTAGAAAGTATTTTCACCTCCCAATTTAGCCTGGTGGAAGGTTATAGGTGACGTTCTCCATTAAAATTACACCAAGACTTCGGATGTTGTTTCCCATGAAGGTTATACCTCCAAAAATACACCAAGACTTCGGTGATTGTTGCCCATGAAGGGTATACCCCCAAGAGCAATGTCTACAGTGCAATATATCAGGTGAACTTGAATTTACCAACATATAGGGAGATGGTCGAATTGACCCGGTTTGAGGCATCGGAAATATTTATATCCGCACTGCGCTTTAAATTTTCTAAATGTCAAAAGACGCATTCAAAATGGATGGAAACATATTGGTGTGGGGATATTCGCCAATGAATAGGCAGCGTCGCGGCGCGAATCATACCAAAATTGGTAACCGTGTACCACGCCATTGGGACCCAAACGCATAGGCATCGAAATGGGCCAAATGTTGGCCTGGAAGTACGGGAAGATATCCAATCGTGAGATTGGACGTCGTCTCGAACGTCTTGAGTCATTAATGCTTCGCAATTAAAGTCGCAGGACTCGTACGGTACGAAGAAGCGGTAGGAAAGGCGCGTGAAATTTACAAGGGGTGACATTTACTGCATTTGCAATCGTTCGCAATTTGTCAGCAGCGCAATGCGCTGAGACACTATCGGTACGGGTGACTTCCCGTTCTGTGCTCAACGTGCTGAAATCGAGCAAATCATCAATTACGCCAAGAATAAGTCGGTGCCGCATCTGTAGGCGCATCACAAGAAGGCGCGTCGTGCTTTCGCTGCAAAGCTCATCGCGAAGCACGATATTTGGCGTCAACTTGTCTACTCGGACGAAAAGAAGTTCAAGTTGGACGGCGCTGATGGATACTGCGCGTACTGGCGTAACCTCCGTGGTGATGGAAGAGTGTTCACGAAGCGAGTGGTGGAAGCAGCGTTATGGTCTGGGGTGCCGTGAGCCAGTGCGGGAAGTCAGATATCACATTCCTCGAAGGACGACAAAACACGTGGAAGTATTGTAAGGCGCCGGAGACGAATCTGTTCCCGTGTTTGGACGAAGTGCACGAACATCTCGAAGACCCGATTTCTATTTTCCAACAATACAATGCATCTATCCACGCTTCCAAGGAGACGAAGAAGTATCCTGAAGTCTCGGGCGTCTTCCTCATAGACTGGCCTAGCAAGAGCCCCGATTTCAACGTTATTGATAACGTTTGGGGTATTTAGCCCGTCAAGTTTACGAGGATAGGCGATAATTTGACAATGTGTCTGATTTGAAGCGGCAGATTCTTTTGTCGTGCAGAATGATAGGTACTGACTACTTGAAGACGTTGTTGATAGCATGCCTACGCGTTTTGCTCAAGTTGTATTGAAAAATGGCAGTAGCATCGACTGTTCGTAGTCCTCATATAAATATTTCCCGAAATATATTCTGCAATGTCTTATATCATTGTCATTTAAGATAGGTATACTTCTACTTCCGTTCCGCAAATCGGGAAACATGTCACTCTAACAGCAACTACTTTCACAGACGAATCCAAAATCACACGAAAATTGGAGATCTGACAGCGAATAAAACTGCGAGTATCAGGCTATTTTCTGATTCTATATCGCGTCTTGGCGCTTCACAACCAAGCATAAAATACCAATGATGGACAACAATTCTAAATATTTAAGTTCTTTCGCATCGAATCGATCTCAAATCAACCTCAAAAGTTGCCTCGCGTTGCCTAAATATATCAACCACACCTCAGAATCCCAGAAGATTTCTGTGGGGGAAGTTATCGACAAACCTAGATGACGTTTTCCGACAATGAACCACGACTTGTCAAACGTCGAGTGGTGGAAGTTGTTCAAAGAGCCTTCGATGGATTGGATTGGGGTGTCCTCGACAAAAGGTTTTTGCAGTTGCAAAGTGTCATGCTGGAGTCGTTGAAAATGGATGGTGACATTTCATACAAATTGCCTCACATGAATTATGTCAAGTTTGCGGGATCGGGCCATCGTCCTATGCACTGCGTGATTCAGATCTTGTGAAAGTTGAAGTTGTTGAAGCGATGAGTCGTCGCAAGGACTTTGAACGCAGAGTAGATAGCCTTTAGTGTGTTAGCTGCGTGTGATATGGAGGGCGTGATAAATACGTCCAATATTGATCACCTCTGCACAGTTGTCGACTTCATGACCACATGAGTTGCATCATATCCTGTTTGCTCCTGTCGTGTTTGTCAAGTCATGGATAAAAATAGACTTTTCCTGTTGAGTTCAATAATTAGTGTAAAGATGAAAATTCAGCCAAAACCAATGACTCCAATTTTCAGGAACAGAGGAAGTAGATCGTATTGCACTTCCTCTGTTCCTCAAAAGAGAGTTTGCAGAGTGGTGGAAGTAGATCTTTTTGCACTTGCACCACTCTGCGAACTCTGTTTTAGGACGTAGGGCATGGTCAGATCAAAGAAAGCAATTGTCGCACTTCTCCGCACAACTAAAATTTTCATGTTCGCATACAATTATTTCGCGCACTGTAGCTTTCACGGTATTCCAATACATACACCACATTGTATTCGTCCAACGTGTCTCCTTCGCTTCCTGTGTCCATCAAGACTAGTCCAACGATGCCCTGTCATACAGCTTGCTCAGATGTTCAGCGCTCGGAAAGAGTCAGATGCGTGTGCCATGGACTCAAGGAGTCGCTGGAGCTGCTAGAGCTGGCGGGACCACGACAAGGTACAAATCAGACAGGAAAAATATAGCGGCGGTCGTTCAGGTGGAATGTGCGAACCATCACGGTCACTCAAGTGTGCGTCGCATGCGCGACTACCACGATGTTATGATCAAGGACTGGAACCAGTCCTTCGAGTGCTTGCGGCCACAACTTGCGACGACTTGTTCAAGAGGGGCCAGTGGACGTGAGGTTTGCCGAACGACAAACCTCGTCGTCCATGAATATGCATTTTGACACAAGCATTGAGCGCGATATATTTCATTTGTTATACTCCGAGTATTGATTTATAGTTTACAGTTTACTGTTAATCTATCCAAAGCAAATTTAGTGGAAACACAAAAATATATTTGAATCCATTTATTTTTACCCACAGAAAATATCGGACATGGCTCATGGAATTCCTCCAGGATGGGAGGTCATGACGTCCCGGAGCAAAGGTCTCGATTACTACTTCAACAAGAAGTCGGGAAAGCAGTACTGGGTGCACAAGGACCTTCCGCAGGGATGGAGCAAGATCATCGAAGCCGATCGACGAACGTATTACTTTCACATATCGGACGAGATGGGCACGAGGTCGTATGAGAAGCCCGCTGCTGTCGCGTCGGCACCACTATCCCCGCCACCACAACCACATCATATTCATGCCCCGAGTGTAAACGAATCCACGAACCCTCATTTTTCACACCCTCCACAGCGACGCGGAAGCAATTCGCTGCACGACCTCCTCTCACCCGTTGCGGCGTCGGTGGCGTCTCCCGAGGAACAGTACCACCACACAGCACCACAGCGCGACAAAAGACCTCGAGAAGACGTTGAATCCCCTCGTAGTGAGTCCAAGCATATTCGTCGCGATGTTGCTTCCTGCGACCGGCGATCGTCTCCTCCCCGAAACACACGCGAAATGGAGCCTGCATGGGCAACGTCCCGCCCGACGCCCGCTGAATCTTCGACATCCCGCAGCCTTGTCACCGATGGGACGGACCAGGAGCAAGCGGCGCAATTCTACAGCAAGTTGTCGCGGAAGAAAACGAGCGATCGCGCTGACAGTCGGCTGTACCACATGCGTTGCATGAACAACTGGGTCAAGAGCGTCTTGATCCAAGAGTACAGTCAGAAACAGAGTCGCGTTCTCGACTTGGCGTGCGGGAAGGGCGGAGATATGAACAAGTGGGCGCGGCACAACTTCCAAATGTACATGGGAGTTGACATTGCGCTGGGTACGTCTGTTCCATCCAGCATTGCCTATACCAGACAGCCCCATCTTCATGGCGATCTCTAGGATCCCTCGAAGATGCCGCGACCAGAATCCAGCAGAACGCTGACTTGAGTCGCAGCGACATCCACCTCGTACGTCTACCCCTTTGTCTTTCTCGACAGCGACGCATGCGTGTGAATGGGGACACCTCTAGGTTCATGGGGATTTGGGCGAAATATCGCTGCTCCAGGACGCGCTGCCGTGCTGGACGAACCAACATCAGTGGCATCGAGCGGTGCCGCTGGACCACCCGCACTCGTTCGATGTGGTCTCGATGCAGTTTGCGTTTCATTACATGTTTTGCGACGAGGCCCGCGCAACGCAGTTCTTTGTGACGCTGCACAGCACGCTCCGCCCCGGCGGAATGTTCATCGCGACGACCATCGACCCGAATCGCGTTATCCAAAAGCTGATGGCGACGGTTGGTGGCGAAGAGATCGTCGATGGCAAAGTCGTTGGACCCGCGCCGATTCAGCTGCGCGACGGCAAGGACCGCGCACTGTGCACGATTCGGATGGACCCGTCGACGACGACAAGATTGTTACGCCCGACGAAGGATGACCGAGGGTTTGGCTTGAGGTAGGTACCTGCATGACAACTGGAAACCTGCGAGGACGTGATGATTGTCGGGGTTGTAGGTACATGTTTACGCTCATTGACGGCGATGACGAAGAAGCGGTCAACTTGCCAGAATATTTGATCCCATCGTCCCTACTCCATCAGATGCTCGACGAGCACGGGTTTGACCTCGTCCTTCAAGAGAACTTTCAAACGTTCATCGGCCTCCACAAAGACTCGCACAAGTCATTGCTGATGAAGATGAACGTGCTCAACTTTCAAGGAACGATTAGCGACGTCGAGTGGGACATTGCAGGACTGTACCAAGTCCTTGCGTTTAAGAAACGAGCAGCTTAACATGACAATGTTCCGATTCGTCCCGCGCGTTCATCTTCGTGCGCGTAGAAGACCTGTAGGTGGAGGGAAGAAGTCGGTGGTCATCGTGCAGGGGCGAAGCATCATCACCAGGTTGGTCCACGTTGCTGCGTACGCCGTAAAGCGCTCAGCCTTCGTCCCGCGGAAGATCAACGGTACATTCATGGGACGGGGGCACACATATCGGATCTACCCAGCGCTGGAGTCCCGAAGGCAGCGTCCATCCCGTCGAAGCAGATGGAGGGATGGACATTTTAAAGTGCACTTGGATGGCTCACATTAGTAGATTGTGGATTTAAAATACGTACATTTGCGCATGCAGTTGAATTTCCGATACATTAAGTTTCCTTGCAATTGAAACAAGAGGGACGTCCATTGAAGTAGTTCGAAATAGGGTATCTTATGCTTAACATGTGGATCCAACATTACATACATTATGTTATATGCCAAACTAACTTGTGAGATCTCCTGCGATGCCGTGTACGATCAAGATCCGCTTGGTGGAGGCGCGAGGGCTGCCAGTGGTGGAGCGAGCGTCCAAGGTGACGGATGCATACGTGGACATCACGTTCGCTAGCTTTGAAGCTCGGTCGACTGTGTCGAAGAAGTCGTTGACGCCGCGATGGGACGAAGAGTTTCGCTTTGACGTTGCCGACGACAACGTGCTGCAGAGTCAGCCGATCATGTTCAAAGTGATGGACCACGACGTGTACACGACCGACGCAACGATTGGGATTGTGTACGTTGACTTAAACTGCATCTTGATGAAGGAAGGAAGCAGCGTCCAGGGATGGTACCCCATCTACGACACACTGTTGGGGGTCCGTGGCGAGCTGCACCTTGTGATCCGTCTGCACTATTTTGGTGACATCAATCCATTCCGCGAGTCCAGTGCCGGCGTACAGTTCTTCTCGTTGAGCACACTCGACCCAGCGATCTTCACGACTCAACGCGTCCTCGGGTTTGTTGAAGAGCTCGTCGTGCACGCCGACCCCGAGTACTCATGGAGCGACTCGTTCCGAACGTCTCGTAAGAGCAACGAGTACCGGCAAATGTTATTGTACAAGCTGTCGTCGCAAGTGTCTACAATGGTATCGAACGTCTTTTATCGTTCAACCTCATCACTTGAACGTCGACAGGTCGGGAAGAAAGCACTCGACTTGGGCGGTAATGCCGTGCTGGGGTATCGTCAGTTCTTCGACGTCGAAGGCGATAGCGGCATGGTCGCGCGAGCGTGCGGCACGGCCGTGTTCCTCGTGCCTACAGACAAGTCCCAGGACGCCGCGGCACCGGCTGCTGCTGTTCCATCCACGTCTGTTGCGTCGTCATCCTCGATGCCAACGGAAAGCGATGTAGAAACTCTAATGTCGGGACTGCTCTACAACAAGCGCGGTCTCAACAACGACGACTCCGCCCCGCCATCCGCGTCGTCGGTCGACGTGGCTGTCTCCACCGACCAGGGCTCGCCCAGGCTTGCCACGATTCCGTCCCTGCGCAAATTTAACAACACGTTCAAGCAGCGTACGAACAAGAACTTCGAGCTCGGTGCACACGATGTAAGCATTCGCTTTCCTTTGGAATTGCTTGACTCAACGAATGCGCTTGAATCGACGTAGGAAGTCCAGCTGCTGACGGTCAAAGCCTTCCACCCGGACACCCGCGTGCGGCTGGGCGGCATCGTCACGGCTCGCTCTGTGAAATTTCTCGGGAAAATGGCGACGAAGCTTGCTGATCAAGAAACCCGCGACTCGTGGTGGCTCGAGCTGCGTGAAGAGGTAGGACCTCTCGGTGGAATCCGTCGTGCTGCGCTCTTGCAGACTGCTTCGACTTTATCTTACCCTGGCGCGCGACAATGTGGCAGGTGCGAGCGCACGCCCAATCGCTCCAGTGCTCGTTTGTCCTCGGATACATTGAGTCGTGCACGATCCACGACGACGTGTGTGTGATGTCGGCGAGCGGGACCGCGGCCGTTGTCAAGTACGCCAAGAAGCCTCGACGTCCAACGGGAATTGTAGCGAGTGACGTTGCGTTGGCTGTGGCTTCCGTCGAAGGGTCGGACGCGTCCCCGCAATTGCAATCGGGCGCGTTTCGAACGTACGGCTCAAAGGAAATGTCAGACTGTCGCACTAAGGATGAATGGCCAGGAGCGCGGTGCGACGACCGACCAAGACGGGGCGCACCGTTTTCCACGAATCCCCATGCATGATGTGCCACATTCCGTACTCGCGCAACCTTGCACCATTTTCAAAGTGCGTTCACACAGGTTCACTTTGGGCGAACTCACTCGTGGTGTAGCATGCGCATGGTGCGATGTGGCGTATGCGGCCGCAAGTGGGTCCCTGAGATGCTCCTCTCGTCGACCGAACCCCTCTGCGGGATGGCCATAACGGGCTCTGGCACGTTCATTCAAGCGCGAGTGTGTCGGTACGTCGAAATCGAAATTCGGAGGCGAGGACCGACCTTGTCGATCTGGGTGGTGGCGTTGCAATCGAAACCTTTGCGCGCTCGATCCCGTGACGACGGTCCTGCGTGACATGGCTAGAATTGATGACGGGGTATGCGGTTATGTAGACAACGTCGACGAGGCACAGGCGATGCAAACGCCACGATCGTATCCGAGGCGCTCCCTTTTCTCGAGTACGAGATGCACCGCCAGGTATGTTGTTGATCTGGTCCAGTTGGACTCGAGGATGCACGGCCGTTCATGCAATCGAACGGCGCCAACATGCCAACCAAGTCGTCCATGTCCCGTAGCTCATGGCAAAGATGCGCGTGTTGGGCGTGAACGCTCTGTTTGGGTTTGAATCCCAAGTCCAAGTAAGGAATCGAGCGTCATGTGCAACATTCCCGCGAAATGCAGTCATATGCTAGTTTAGATCAGCGGCGCATTTGTCATCGGAATCATCACTGGAACGGGGATCTACTTGCCAGCGCTGCCGATGCCACAGGGCTTGCGCATTACGCGCAATATCGACGTACGCCGTGTGTCGCAGATACCACGTGTCTTACGCGCCATCGCTGCACTCAGGTCAAGGACGACGAAGATCGTCGGTTGGTGCAACTGCAGGCGCAGATCGAAACCATGAGCAACCGCAATCGTTCGCTGGTGACGGGAAGCGAGCTGCTGCCGTGGACACTGACACACATGTCGTTGGGTAGATGAAGCACGACGCGATGTGTGTGATTCCGCCAGAGTTCAAAACGGACCGCATCAAGATCGAATCCGACGACAAGGCGCACAAACGAGCGCTGCGAAAACTCAAGAAGAAGGAAGACTCGTCCGCGACGTCCGTCGAGCGCAAACCGTCAACGGGGGATGTGGACGTCCCAGCGACGCTTGGAGACGACGAGAAAGTGTCGTCGTCCGACTCGTCGTCCGACTCGGAGGACGAAGTGAGCCCCGACGTGAACACGTTCGTTTCGTACAAGACAAAGATCGGTACCTAACGCAACATTTAGCGACAACAAGCACCCGTTCGTCCTTGAAATCGACGACGAGACGGACGAAGATCTCATGTCTGTCCTGCTGGAGCAGCCGCTGCCGGAGGTGCGATCGATATCCATCCGTGGCGCGTGCTGAGTGGCTTCGCAGGGCGTATCGATCTGCAACACGGACAGCTTGCCAGGGATGACCCAGCACGGCGCGAACATCCACTTGTTCCTGTCCATGAAGCGCGTCGAGTGGGACGAAGAGCACACTCGGGATACCCGCGTCAACGTGCTGTTTTCTCATGTTTTCAAGATGCTCTTTACGAGGTATGCTGTGCACAAGACCTTGGCGCGGTTTTCGTGCACACCTGACGGTTTGGCTAGCTTGCTCTTTAAGCTGCGTGCTTTTGCCCCCTGTGTCGTGTGCGGCCTTCGCACGCGCGTCGCGCTGGCCGCCGACAACATTGTACGGTGCATGTAAAACGGTTGCGGCACCATGGGCAACCTCACTCTGCACCGTGTGTGACGTGACGAGTGTGAGTGTAGATTGAAGTGGTGTTGATGGGCATGGCGATGCTGGCCGGACCAGAATTGCCCCCCGTGGACACAGCCCTTCCCTTTGGGAGTGCCGGAGGCGGCACGTCGTTTGCGGACGACGACGACGCTGCCGCCGACCCGGATGCATCACCGTCGTTGCGCCTCCAGATCTTGCACAATGCGTCGGCGTTCTCGCAAGTGGCACCGCCCATGAGTCCTTCGGTGGACGCCGCTGCGACAGCTGCATTTGTTGGACCCAACGCTCGCGAGTGGATCGAACTCACCCCGCTGTCGTATGTGCCGGGGGCCAAGATCCTGCGATACCTTGGCCGCATCACACTCCACTTTATCAAAGAGAGCTGGACCGTCCGTGAATGCGGTGGCCTAGGCGCGTTTTTCCATTTGTTTTTGTCGGAGGCGATCTCCGTCGTCCGCGCCCACGTCCGCGCGTTGGGCGGCAACGCGATGCTGAGCTTTCGTCTGGTCCCGATCGAATCCAGCCAGCTCTACCGCAACCAAGTGTACAACATGATCAGCGTCACCGGGTACGGTGTCGACGCATGCTTTCGACAGGGCGAAACTTTCGAGGGTCCGGGAGGTCGATGGCGACTGACGATATGAAATGGTAGGGACGCAGTGCTACTCGAGCGAGAGCAGAGCCCTCTGCCCGTGGGGTGGCACACCAGCCCCGTCTCGAGACTCCACACGCCTCACGTAAACTCTTTTGGCAGCCACACCGACGACCCCCCCGACGTCCCGACCCGACAAACTCGTTCCGCGACATCGTACTAGAATTCCAACGAGACTATGCATGGGATCGTAACACCGAGTTGGGATGTGTTCTTTGGACATTGCCGCCGCCAGTTGTCATATCCACGGTCAGGACTCGGATGGGCGCCATGCCAGCGCCTGGCATGCAACGGACTTGGAAGGATCCAGCGGATGCATCAAGGAAAATCTCTTTATTCGCCACGAACTCGCGGTCGTAAACGTAGCCACAGACGATCCAGTGCTCGCCATAGAGACACATGGACGGCTGTTAGCGCACAACTAGTCGCTCGTTTTGTGCGCGGGATCGGTAGCCACACACGAGTGGAGGAAACTGGCGACGTAGACGGGGTCGATGACATGTGCGGCCAACGACTCGACGAAACTCGTCATCAAGATGGCCTTTGACGCATTCGTTGGCATCTTGTCGAATGTAGCGGCCATCGTGGCGTCCACAAACGCCATCATCGCTGTCTGCATGTGGCGGGCAATGCGATGGGGCGCGACGCCGCACTCGAATTGGTGCCGTGGCCACGTTTGCCCATCGTCGAGTGACCGGTCGAGAGTGTCGAGGTGCATAGCAATCCAGTCCCGAGGACGGGGAAACACGCGGCCGAGGAGGTCCCCCACGTACAACTGCAGGGCAAACAAGTGCGTGGCGACATTGTGGATCCATCCGTTTGCTTCAAAACGCACCAAGTACGGCATCGCGTTCTCGAGCAGGGACTCGAGCAATGCGAGTTCACGGCTGTGGCTCCACACGTTGACTGAAATGGATGGCGTCGTCGTCAGTACGCAATGAAACCAAAACGGCGGCAAGTACATGGTTTCACCAGGCTGCAGGGTCACGTCGACCCGTTCTATCCACGAGTTCGATGAGTTTCTGGCAGGGCATTGAGTTTTTCGGGCAGAGAAAGCGTACTTGAAAAGGCTTGCCGATACCGAGGAAACCGAGCCAAGAGATCGGCGTCGGGCTGCGAGAGGTCAAGCAGTGACTGGCGATGACTGGGATGGAGGCGCGAATGGACGTACAGCGAGTCGAAGGCGTCTGGGGGGAACAAGGTGAAAGTTTTTTGGCCGTGAACTTGGTGGAAGATGTTGTGGGTAGCATCGTAGTGAAGGTTGGCGACAACGCGGGGACCACCGATCCACAGTTTGACGAAGATTGTGGAGGACGCAGACGGCAGGGCAAACGGTAAGGTTGGGGAGATATCGCGGGCGAGTTGCGGCGCCAGCAGCTTCAGCTCACCGTTGACGTAGTATCCCGTGGGTGGAGGAGCTGCATCCTGTTTTTCGACTGTCGCAGAAGTCAAGAGGGTGTGGAGGTGCGTAGCGTCGGTGTAGAAGGTGCGAAATGGAGGAGGGAACTTCGCACTCAGCTCCAGGTTTGGGTCGTAGTGCTTGAAAACTGGTGGCGATGCTGCATGAACTTCCACCGTCTTGCGCTTGAGGCACGACAAAACGTGGTCGAGCGTCCAGAGTGAGGTGTTCCACTGGTCTGTCGGCGAGTGGACAAGCAAGACAGGTGCCCTCGCTGTGAGCAAGACCGGCAGGATTGCGTCATGCCACTCCATGGAAGGAATGCCTCGTGACGCAGGTGGTGGAGCGTGCCATTGATGAAGAGCTATAGCCACCAGAAGCGTCGCAACGACGGCCGCGCCGCCACCAAGTCCTCGCTGCAGTCGTGACATGCGCTTTATGGCAGCGGTGAAACGGTCATGAAACGGCGTCCAAAACGGCGTCGACCAATCAAACGTTATCGATCCAAAAGGCAGAAGCAGAAGTGCGACAACCTGACAAATGTGCACACTTCTTGTGCGCGGTTGGCTGCATCCATGTCCCGCCCACCCTCTCAAGTACTGCAGTTCCCTTTGGTTCCTTCGATATAGCCAACCTCATTACTGGAGAAAGGGAAGAAGGTGCTGGCACCAACACGCCTGGATGGAAACCACTGGGGCAGTCGGCACGCTCCCACGCGTGCGATTGCAAGCACGAACTGCTGTCTTTTTCTATCTTCATGTGCCGCAACCCCATCGTCGGATCTCGAGACTCTTGGGACTGAGCTGTTTTTATGAAGCGGTACGTGCACGCTGACGACTCGGTCAGCGGGTGTGGCTGTAGCGCTGAGCTAGGGCATTCCCTGCATGCTACTGGGCCTTCCAACCTTGGCGTCCACGGGCTTTGGCTGAGCTGCTTCCTCGAGCTCCATTGCGATCCGAGCAAATCCTCGTAAGACAAACGTCGACGGCGACAACAACAATCCCTTCTTGAAAGTCATCCATTCGAATCCGAAATAGAAAACCACAGCCAACTGCAGGCTCGAGTTCGATCCATTCCTTTTCTGTTATAGCGTTGGCAAAATTGTACTCGGCAAGTATTTTTGTACCGCTCATAGATCGCGTCGGTCCAACGAGGATGAAATGGCGGCATGCGCTCGCTGGCGATAGCCAGCATTCGCGCAAAGGTTCGCACTTCATGTCCCAACGACCCGGGGACTACCGCCATTCTGATGGAATGCAGGTCATGGAAACATTCACTATGAATTCTGATGATTTGATTGGCCAATCATGGTTAGGCCCGCTCGCTATTGGGCAATTCGAGAATGCGCTGGATTTTCCCAGAGGGCCGGGTATTTATACAAAAGTCAAGATATAGTTCGAAAAGCCTGTCGTCTTCGGCTGAAGTTCGACAATGCTCGCATTTGATTGGTGAAAAGTTTAGACGTGTCACGTTTTATGCGAGGACGAGATCCCTGGACCAATCACGTGCGGTCATTCTACCTGCATTCTGAATCGAAATCCCTGGATTGAACGACCGCCACGGCCCAATGTCTCCTTTTTGTAAAGACAATATCTTAGTTACATGTGCTTTGTCGCTAAAGTCAGGTAGAATTGGGACGAATGTTTAACCTATGCCGTAGGACAGTTACAACCACCGTCGCATCAAAATAGATTGAATTTGCGCGTGCTTCGAAAAATCTTGGATTTTGTATGCTCGGTCGGTGCTTCGCTACCGGCTCTTCATTCGAGAATACTTCGTGTCCTGGCATCATGGAACAGCAGAAATTGACGGCGATCAAGGTCGGGTACAACGGCGAGATCCACCGCCTCCGCGTCGACTTGACGACGTTCACGTTTGCGGACTTGCAAGCGCTCTTCGCAACGACGTTCTCGTTGGCACCTGCATCCTTCGTCATTCAGTACAAGGATAACGAGACGGACTGTGTGACGGTCAATTCAAGCTCAGACTTCGAAGAAGCCTGCCGCTTCTTCATGACTTCGGCAGATGAAGCCAAGAGCTTGCGCTTCATTGCCGTGCCGTCGACTCCTCTCGTCTTTAACGACAACGTTGCCGAACCAATCCTTAAGGTCATTGAGCACTTGGTCCAAACGTTGAATGAAGCCATGGAAAAAGTAAAGCAGGAACAATGGGCTGCCAAGGCACAAGAAAACGCACGTGACTTCGCCGCCAAGGCTCAAGTGAGCGCCGGTGAATGGGCTTCTCAGGCCCAAGTAAACGCGGGTGTTTGGTCCAACAAGGCGTCGGACGCCATGAACACAAGTGGCGAGAAGCTGAGCGAAGCGTTTGCCCAAACCAGCGTGATTGTAAACGAAAAGCTAGCTGAAGCTGGCGCTGTGTTGGGTCCTTTGGCCTCGAAGACATTGGAGGAATCCAAGGCTGCCTTCGAAGCGGCGAAGAAGGGATTGAACGAGATTGAATTCGACAAGATCAAGCAAAGTCTGAACGAAATTGAATTCGACCGTTTGATGAAAGATGCCACCGAAGGTATGAAGGCCGCAGCTGTCGTTGCCACCAACTACGCAAACAACTTGGTGAGCGAACTGAACAAGCTCAAAGATCACACTGTTGAAGTGACCGTCGTCCCCGTCGATGCTCCTGTCGCCGTGGCCGTCGAAGCCCCTGCGGAGGACGATGTCGTTGAAGTTGCCGTGCCGGTGCATGAAGCGACTGCCGAAGCCGAATGGGAACAAGTTCAAGAAGAAGTGGCTGCCCCTACGCCGTCTGCCGAGGAGCTCAAGTGGGCGGCACAATTGGCCCTTGTCCGCGAAGTATTTCCCACCTCGTCGACCGACTCTGTCGTGGCGCTGTTGGAAGCTGCCCACGGCGACGTGCACGTGGTGTTGAACCAGCTCTTCGAGTTGTAAGCGGATATCGCACCAGCTTTCGCCCTCCTTGGCGTAACCATTTATATATTCTATCAGCCTGACCTTTATTTTTCCATTCCACTTGATGTGCCATGCCGACAGGCAATGCCATAGCTGGTGGTGGCGCCGCCCTTGTTCTCCACGTGACGAACGCCACTCTGGAGGCGCCAAGTCGTACAGTCTGATGCAAAACGTTAATAGACTCCACAGATTTCAAGCATCACTCAATGAAATAAAGGTTGTACGGTATTTCACCGCAATGTCCGTGACTCAAAGATAGTTCACCAAAAACTCGCGATCAAGGCCAAGGGTAACATTTCTGATCCAGAGAGTGTGCAAATTGATAAGAACAAAGTCACTTCGCCTCATAACATATCAACAAAGACACAATTTCATCAAAAATCAACTACTAGTTGTTAATAGGCTTTCCTCCTGACTTCAATCAACACAGCAATGCAGCGGGTCTTCATGCTGCGAATAAGATTTTCCAGGTACTCTGGATCCAAGGCATCCATTGCATCAGTATCGCATTTTTCAGCGCCTCTGTTGAGGAATACTAGTACTGTTTACCATTACCATAGACACGTTGGCAAAGGTACCCCCACACGTTGTCAATTGGATTGAGATCAGGGGAAAGCGCAGGCCACTCCATCATGATGATCCCATTCTCGTTAAGAAACTCGGCAGTCTCCTTCGACGAGTGAATGGACGCATTGTCATGCTGAAAGACGAACGAATTCAATACGACTTGAGTCCATCAGGGCCATCAAGATTCCATTTCTTCTCATCGGAGAAGATTACTCGACTCCAAGCGTCCCATCCCATGTCAATGTTTCGCTGGGCCCATAAAACATGGCTTTCCATGTGTTTTGCCTTGAGTTGGGGCTTCCTGTTCATCTTGATGTACTCAAAACGGGTGGATGAGTTTATGACTCGCGAAATTGTCGTACGGTGGACGTCAAGGTCGAGGTCGCTCTTGAGTTGTGCTCAACTTCGCGGCGATTTGGACACAGCAGCGAAAAGATGCCGTAAATCACGGTCACTTAGCTTCGAAGGACAGCCACCAGACAAGCGTTTGCCATAGGCATTTGGGTCGCGCAAGTAGTTGTAAACGACAGTTCGGCTTCGATTGATAAACTTAGCTGTCTTGACAACGCTAAGGCCGAATTCAATGCACACATAAATCTTCCCGCACTCAAACTCCGTCAGCTGTGCTCCCAGTCCCATGAGACCACAGAGATGTCTTCTGTGGCCTTAGAATGCAAAGTGATGTGCCATCCTTGATAGGGCCACGTGTACTTCGTTTGAATTCGTGTTGGGCGGGAAGATTTCTAACATGTTTTTAACGTTTTGCACACGTATTAAATCAGACTTTTATCAATATCTCCTGCAGTTTATATCCAAATTGTGTTATTTTGGTCTCGCTGTGCTTTGCTATTCATGGTGAATCAAAACTTAACATTAGAATTAGTGTACTTCAATATTCAATGAGATAGCTCAAATATACTTGGTGTCTTAACCTTTTGCATCAGACTGTACAGTGCTGGCAAAAAGTATATGACCACCTACATATTTGAGTCTGCACAGCAACCAAGCACGAAATGTGGGCTAGTAAATGCACGCTAGCGTTAAGAAGGCATCAGGCAAGGCATCATGAAAGTCATGGAACTTGGCGCCACATAGTCGGCACCCCACATTAAGAAAACCAAGTTTGAAAAATCACCACATGGCAAAAAGTATAAAACCATCCTGTCATTTTTGCAATTGTCAGCAATTTTTAGCTCCAAAAACATGTTTTTTATATAGCTAACGTCGAGTTAAATCGATTCCCGCCGTCACTCCATTTGAAAACATTATCTGAGCATGCCTGCGGGACCGAAACTCACCGAAGAAGAACAGGGCATGATTCTTGCCCTGAACGCTGTCGGGAAGAGCCAAAGAGAGATCGAGCACCTTGTCGGTCGCACTCGAGGAGCAATCGCTTTGTTCCTTCGCAATCCTGCCAAATACA